TTAATAGGAACTATTTATTTTTTATTATATCTGACACAACCGAAAGTTGAACTGACTAATTTATACTGTTCCCTGCTATCTTAATTTTCAATCAAGAAGAGTGACTTTCGAGTTTTTCATTTTCTTCAAATTTTCAGAAGTTAATAATAAGTGCCAAATATTTACGAAAAGTTTTAATATGACATGACATTGAATAGAAAATCTTGCTCAGAAAGTAAATATACGACAAGACAAGATAGATGAGAAAAGACACTTTAACAGGGAACAGGACATTGAATGATCAACGAATCTTGGTAGATTCCTCCTCTACCAAATGATTTTTTATATTTATTGAGTTCATAACCAAATTCAGTCTTTTGGTTCAGGAAAAAATAGAAAGTAATTTACAAGAATGTAAATTTGACTTATTTGTCATCTATCGGTTTTCTTTATCATTTCTAAACTGAAAATCTTCACTATAATTTCACTCAAAGAAAAGAATGAGAAAACCGCAAAACGTGCAATTTATCCCGTATTCATTTACTATAATTATGGAAAATGACCATAAAGGTGATGGAAATGGGATAAAAAATAAACTATTCAAAATAGAATAAAAGTTTCCATTACTACAAAAAATATCTAAAAATACGTCGAAAACATCGAAATTCAAAACCGGGTTTTCATTTTTGTCTTCAATGTATTGCAGTGATCACGCTTTAACAGTAATCGTTTTCTGTAGCTTACATATAAAAAACAATTGCTGCAAAAACATGAATTAAGAGAATATGAGTAAAAGTCAGCTTTCGAGAAAAAAGTCAGACAATACAAAGTAAAAACAAAAACATTCTAAAAAAGTACAAGCACGAAACTGGAAGGATTAGAAAGAAATTTAAAAGTAGAGATAAATCAGAACTACAGAAATAATATCTATGGATATATGAAGTAATATGAAGAAATTTTTCGGATTTTTTAATAAGTAGTAATTTAGTAACTTTTAGTAATTCAAATACGTTTCAGAACAATAGATTAACGAATGGAATCTACAAATGTAAATTACTCCATAAGCAGGAAATTTTGAATTGCGATACTGCTAGAGAAAATATTTCATTAATTCAGACAGAGAAAAAAAAAATTGAAAATTTGCTAGATATTTCCAACAAAGAATAAAAAAGTTTACAAAATTTCTTGCCATCTTTATGTCAAAATAAAAGAAAAACAATGAAATAAAAGTTTGGAATAATCTGTCGCCAGACAATTCAAATTGCCATCCTCATTCCTTCTCCCTGTTAAATTTCATATAAATATAATTGAAATAAGGAAAAAATGTAAAAATTAGAAAATCAAAAAACACGTCGTCACTAATTTAATAAATGGAGAGCATAGTTTCTGCATGAACGAGACTGATGAAACGAATATGACACTCATTAAGATCAATTGTAAAATCCAAAAAGACCCTCAAAAAACATCCTCACAATTCTTCATATGACCCAGAAAGTGTGAGAACGTTTAGCTATAAAAATTCTGATTTCCCCTGACAGACATGCGCTTCGGTTTAGACTGTTTCTCAAAATCAATCTTTGCCATGTAACCTATATTAACACCAACAGCGCTATTCCTTTCTGATTTTTAAAGAATAAAAATAGGAGAGTAAAAAAATAATTATAGAAACCAACAAAGTACCATTATCATCGTAACACCACAACAATAATAAATCCTACACATGTGAACTGTGTAAAATATGCAAATGTGCGAAAATCGCCTTTAATTCTTAGAACGATAACAATCTCGTCTTTCCCTGGTTAATCCACGATTCAAGAACGATGAATTAATCATTATTCACTAAAGGGGTTCGTCTCTTGAATTTGCAATTGTAAAGCTTTCAGATCTTTAGCAAAGCCTATAGCACTCGTTCTCAGTCAATTCAATAATTATCACGCAATAATCATGAAATTAGAATTTCTTATAATTAAGACATATGAAGTAGCGATAAATTAGACAAGACTAGAAAGCTAAAAGAAAAAAAATACAAAGCATAAGAAATAAATGAAGGAAATGGAGACAGGAAATGAGAATGGAAAATATTAAATATCAAAAATGAAATGAAACAGTATTAATGAAAGTTCTTCAAGTTGCTATCAATTTGAAAATAAGTTTGCAGGAATATGCACGCATAAACATAAATAAGGTTCATGTCTAAGCGCGAACACTGTCAATGCCGAATTCAGTGTAGTAGAAATGTCATCTGCATGAGCAATAATTGACACATCCGCACAGCTACACGAAATATTTATCTCTACGTCATTTCGTGGCCAAGGCAACACCAACAACAATAATAATAGTTCGGACATTATAATTCGATTAAGATGCAAACCTCGTCTGTCCAACAAAAGCAATTTCACCAGTATGACTAAGCAAACCAGTGTGAATAATGACCTACGAATGCAGAACAGAAAATTGCAAGAGACAGTACGGGACTGATGCATAAAGAATGAAAAAGAGAGCAGGCCATCGAGATGACCAATAATAGAATGATATGCATACAATCAAGAAGCTCTTCCTCCTTATACATTCATAATAAGGTCAATTATTTTCAGATCTAATATAGTGAAGTATTTACAGAATAACTCTCTTCCTGAATTTCGGTTCCCTTGTTAGGGCAACAAGGACATTCCGCAAAACTAAAATCATTTTTCGGATCAGCCAAAAAAGATATAAAAATTAGTTCACTCATAACAATTTAAGTTTCACTACGTTATTCAGGAATCCAGATATAATTAGTACTAAGCATTCTCTTAAAAATCAAAAGCTTAATGGAACTATGTTATGCCGTTCTAAGATTTCTGGGAGAGAACATAAGTGGATGACTAACTTTCTGGTGAAGATATGTTCTGCACCATCACAACTTTCACGTTTTAAATGCTCCTGCTCAATTTGCTTTGTCATTTTTTTGTGAGTTAGTGATGGTTTTTGAAGTAAACTTCCATCAGACCAGTCGTTTGTTGTATTATTCGCGTGCATATCTTTGATGTACTGCTTGCGTCGTACCACGGGTGTAACTAATCCTTCATTTATCGTCTAAAATGCAGACCATAGTGATCTGTTAATGAGCAATGAGATCCAGAATAAAGCAAATGTAATCAAAACTATCATTAGGTAAAAGGAATAATATCATTTCAAAACCATCGAAATCCAGAACACTACTAATTATTTATTGTTGGTTAAGTACTTGTAACAAATTGTACAAATAAAAAAAAAACAAAAAAGGTCATCAATTTTAAAGTGCATTGGTCAATAGCTATTTTACAGCAGCGACAATAACACAAGCAGTGAAAGAGGCTATTTAAATTAAATATCACACCTGTAATTCTCCAGTTCTCGGGTTTCGACCAAGTTTCGAAGTTAAAGCCTTTGCCGTGGCTACAACTCCCGTAACACCATTTGCTAATGAGTTATGCGCCAAATCTGCCAAATCGGGAACCGACAAACGACGCTGATCAGTTCTATCACTGGAGCGTGTCCTGTTATCAGTAACAGGTTTAATTTCTTATATTTCCCATATTTCAAACCTTATTGAGATTTTCGAATCTCCCATCAGTCTATCTTTTCCAAAACAGAACCATTCAAACCATAGAGAAACACAATAAAAAAGGTAGAAAAGCTTTATTGAAATGTGCCAATGAAATTCAAATCGTCCGAATTTGTTTCAAACTACAAAATATGATTGATTCAGAAAATTAACATACCTTAAAACGACATTAACGTTGTCGCACTCAATTTTATTTGTTTCCTTATGATGATTTCGTTGGGATTGCTGCTGCTGACGAGGTTTGGAGTTAGCTTCGGAAGCTTCAGCTCCTGATTCTTGTCTATAATCAGAATTGACTGTAACATTGTATTTTGACTGTATCCATAAAAATGCAATGAGAACATAAGAATTAACGAAAAAATTCAAGGAAATGTATATTTCTTTCAATTTTCTTGAAGACTGATTTCTTATTTTCTGCATGTGCAGAGTGGTATGAAAAAGTCAGGAAAGAAGACTGCATCAGTAAACATAAAAATTGTCTACAAAATTTCATGACTTCACAGCTTTTTATTTAATAAAATTTTCAATTGTGATGTAGATTGAAAAATGTCTATTTTTGACTAGCTATAATAATAAAACAATATACTACTGAAATAATTTTTCATTAAGTAGGATTAAACCATGCAATAACTTTAAGTGATCCATTAAAATTTTATGTTTTACCCTCAAAAAAAAATCCTATGGTTCTATGGTTCCCTTACTAAGTAGGGCTGACGTGTTACATTAAAACTGAAACATAGATAAGTCGCAAAATCACGTAATTGCAAATCAAAATATTAAAGTGAAAGCTTCCCAAACAATTTTAGCAGTGATAAGAGTTTACGGAACAACTTAAGATATAAAACATAAAAAAAATTTTAAAAATTAAAAAAAAAACTTAGGATATAAAACGAAGATTTGACTGAACTTACAAGCAGAACTTGTGTTACTATTCCAAACAATATAAAACTAATAATAAAAATATAATTTGAGCTAACTTTCTTATATTTTAGTCTGCCATGTCATGAATACTAAGTGTTTTCCTTTTAAATAACTTCTAAGAACATGTCCTATAAATCCTGGAAAATTATTTGAGTGGTGACTACAAATGCACTTTAAAAACCAAAGGTGTAAAGCTAAGCAAAAGGGCAATAAATGGAACGAATACCTTTTCCTGTTCAATTCCTCCAAACATTTACGCAAGGTATTTTCATCAAGGCATGTGGATGGTGGCATTAGAGCACATCGAACACTAACATCACTACCGCTACCATCAGCATTATGCTCCATGTTGTGAGTAGCGATACGTGGCACATATCCAGTCGTCAAATCGCTCCGTTCACGCCTCAGTGCCAATGGTTTCGGTTTTATAGCTGGTTTCGGATTTACTGAAAGTTTAAGTTGAAGAGAAAAATTTAGAGATAAAAACGTTCAAATGCGTCAACAGAGAGATCTATTCTGACTGACACTATATTATATTGAGGTCCCTAAGTTTTGATATTGGTTTTCTATATGGAAATAATTCCTTGAAAAGTGAATAGTAGTATAAATGAAGGAATGGACATATAATAATGATTTCTTTTGACTTACTGAATTACTGATATGAAAATAATATACTTACTGATATACACCATACTCCTTGATTAATTTCAGAATAACCAAAGGAAAAAGAATGGACAAAAGAATTAATTATCTATATAATAAGTTTTCCTAAAGTCCAGTGTTAAGTTGGAAATGGATATCAAATTTAAAATTAAATTCAGAAAAACTTCGGGAAAGGAAAAAATACCAGTAAAATACGAATTCGAACTACTTAATTTTTGCACTTCCTCTTGAGTAACAATACTGTTGGTAGAATGACCTGGTTTAAAGGTACGAAGGGCTGAATGTTGATGCTGTCCAGGAAACCAATTCCGTTTCAAAAATAAGCAATCAGTAGATCGTTCAGCGCTATATGACTGTAAAGAATCCGCATCATGCTGTGTTGATAGTGATGACGTCGATGAGAGTGCAAAAGCTGACTGACTTCTGAAAGAATATAAGATCAAAATTTGTATACGGAAAAGAGGAGAGGTCAATTTTTTCTATGCATTACTAGTTAATGGTAGAGAGGTGGAAATGAATGAATGTGATCTCGAATCATTTGAATCGCTTGGTATGATCAAAATCTTTTAAAAGAATAAATGACTAACGAAGTGATTTGCCGTTCTTCCAAAGGAGTGAAAGCACGGCATTGAGCCAATTTCATCATTTCATGTTCAGTTCCAGAATTCTTTTTGTTATTACCGTTGGTAATACCATTCCCACCGCCAGTTATAGCATTGGATGAACTTTCTGAGCGAAATATATGTCTTAGCAATGACCGCCGCCCAGAAATGGTCTGCGCTGGTGCATCATTATCAACCCCTGAGCTGCTCTGGAGTGATGTCATACGTGAAACACATGTTCCAGCAGCTACCATACCTAAAACAATTATAATTTCGAAAAAGCTTAAGTTTTTGCTTAGGAAAGCAAGACTCATAAATCAATGGAAAAATATAGCGGCTAAAAGAGAATGCCTTCATCATCGGATCTGTGCAGTTTTATATTTAAATAACTTGTCTAGTAAATAAACACAGATGTAAACTCGTAAACAGTTATCAATTAAAAGTACATCTGTTCAATCATTTTTTTCTATTTCTTAAAAAGATATTGCAGAGTAATTTTCCACCTTTGTCCATGAAACCATTAGTTAAAGCGTTGACACGTCTTTCGTTAGCACGCTTGGAAAAAGAACTACTATTCGTTTCAGTTGATACATAATGTTTTGTGAAACTTGAACGCTTTTTTGAATAACGAATACTTGAAGAGTCCAAATTCGAATGTTTCTGTAATGATCGCGAATCGTTGCCTTCCTGTGCTATATCACTCGTCCAGAAATCTATAAAAACTCAATATTTCATTGAAATTGGAATTATAAAAAAGTCATGAAATCGAAATAGTGAATAATGACATAAATGAAACACAGATATCGATTTACTGTTTGAAAATGAGGCTAATTTAATCTGTTATGCTAAATGTAAGGTTTTTTTCCATGTTCTGCAAAGGTGTCATCGCATTAATGATAATAAACATGAATCAAAAATGATAAACGGCAAAGGTATGATCGAATGATCGTTAATGAGATAGTGTAATTCAATTGCGAAAACTTTTCAGTAGAAACACGTTCAATTATGAAAACTTTCAGTATTCGCATATAAAAATGAGAAAGTGGAAATGTTAATTAGTTAACTGTGATGTTAATATAGCAAAATATAGCAATAACAGAATAATGTCAAAAATGAGGCAGAAAAAAATCTCTTTAGAAATTAATTCCAAAGAAATTCACTGAAAATTAATAATGTTTCATTTATACAGAAGGAGGAGATTACATTTTCTTACCAGCGACAATACCAGCAGATTTGATCAATAGAGGACGATGATGTGAAAGAGCACGTAATATTTTCGAAGAAATCAAAACAGCTCTCTAAATCCCATCTGTCGAACCAGTAATAAAATCTAAAGCATTTAAAAAGCTGGAGAGAGAGTCCTGCCAAATCATCTGAAGGTCATTCTAAAGTTCTGACAGATTGCTTACTAACAACGCCATGAAACTGGAGTTCAAGAGCTATAATAATAAGCAGAAATTCTCTTTATCTATTTGCAAATATAAAGCAAAATATCAATAAATAGAATAAACTAGTAGCCGACGAAAAGATGCCAATCAGATGTCAACGATAAATCAAATTTATAAAATGATCTTTAGATCCTTTAGAACAATCTTTTTTCTCTAATTTTTGCAATCTGAAAAAAAAAGACATATCCATTTGAAATTTAATGATTACTATTAACACAGACAGAAACATACATATGCATGTGTGCGTAGAAAATATAAATTTATAATACTGGTGAACAGACCAGAAACAAAATTTCACCTCATTTGATTAGTCTTGCTCCTTTTCAAATTTCAAAAACACTTAAAAGAGGTAAAATTAATTGCTCTCCAAAAATCATCTCACTGTGAAAAAATATCCAAAATGCAAAACTTTTAAGTTGCCATCCTGCACTAAGTTTCATATTACATATAACAAAAATCATAAGTTACAAGCAGATTTTCATACTTGAAACATTAGATTCTGCTAAATGTTTTTCTTATAAAAAATGCAAAAAATACAACAAAATGACAAAGAAAAAATTAGCCGGAAAAACAATTTCTGACTTGCTTATTGGGACAATGTGATAATGTACTGGGCATCATTTCTGAAAAGTAATATCGCAAAAAATCTTCACCGACAATTTCATGACAATTTCACATTTCAGTGGAAAAAATGCACAAAAATGAAACGATGCACATTACAACATAAAGCGACAATATATTCGACACACATGTAATTTCATGACTTTACACAACAATTTCACAAAAAAAAAGACTTCGTTCCTAACATACCACAGTGAATGTTATTCCAAGAATAATTTTAATTTCCGGATCAAAAGATAAGCAGCGTCAGAGACCATGGATCAGATAAATGGAAAAAACATTCACAAAAGGATAAAGATTTACACAGCTCTTATTTCAACTAATATCTCCTTTACAACAGCACGATGTTACACGTAAAGCCAGACAAGTGACAGACAACCTTGAAACTTGATAACTAAATTTTTAAGCATCTTTTCTCATACTATATATTGCTCAACTTACTTTCACTGTTCATTTTCCTATACCACTGTTTAATCAAACAGAACAGCTGAATTTAATCAATTTATATTTTTTATAAAAAACAACGGTTTTGAGCAGTGTTTATAGCCAAAATTTAAAGAACAAAAATATCAATCAAGCAAAAGCTAAGTTGTTAAAATTTCGTCAGTTTCCTCACTCATCTATATTTATGAAATGAAAACAGGAGAAATTTATATGGCGTTTGTTTTGAAAAATAAAAACAAATTCGGACCAAATCAAGTTCTATCACAAAATTAAAAGAAGTAGTTACATATGCATCGCACCAGCGGTTAATAGTAGTTTCCAAAATTTGTTTTCTATTTTCATCATCATTACTTAAATTATCTATGTTCATCTGTTTAATTCGTCACAAAACTGATTTGAGCGTCTTATAACAGAAAAGTGAAGCATACTTACCGAATGACTAAAAAAAGTGAAAACAACAATATGGAAGAGGGTTTATTTCATAAAGAATACTAACTAAAATATCTGAAAAATGATTGCTCAGATGTGATAAAAGCAGACAGGATATGAATAGCTTACAGTTTACACCGCAATGTAGTACAGTAATGGAGTAGTATTGATGATAAAATTTTTGCGGTTTGCTTATTAACTTATTTATCCAACAAAATAAGAATATATGCATGACCATAATTCGAGCCTTTTCTAGTTGCTATTTTCCCTTAAGCCTCATTATCAGAGAAGAAAATAAAATAAAATGAGAAAATTGATTTAAAAAATCTCACAAAACACATTTAATAAAATGAAGAAATTGCCAATGATGAATTTACAATAAAATGAAGCCAAATAATAATGGAATGAATATGTCAACATGAAGGCACTTGTTTACTGCAATAAAAGTTACGACAATTGAAAGAAGTGAATTTAAAAAAGAAAACGAAAAAAGAATAGTAAGAAAACGTAAAGGTCATTTTTTATTCCTATAGAAAATTTAGACTTATTTTATCACTAAATTCATTTCAACGATTAATTTAACCAATTTTTGTTTTTCTTGTTATTCTCAATTCTTTTTTTTTTGGAATTAACTTCAGAATTTTAAAACCAAAAACTAAAATGAAGGACACAATCTGTTGGTAACTTCAAACCCTACGGCAAACCGGAAAAGAACTTAAGAACGTCCAAATAAGTAACCTTCTGCTCAATACTGCTTCTCCATCTGTACCACTTTTATCACATGTAATAAATTTATAACCTAAATGAACCTAAATGAACAACTCCTATCGATCTTCAAGGATGCTTAATTCCATAATTTCAATCAATACCAAAATTATAACTTTCGTAAATTAAAAAAGGACTTTCAAATTAAAATAACAACGAATGCCAGATAATGAATAATGTAACCAATCCAAATGATGCATTGAAATAGGTCAATTTGTTAAAAAATTTCGAATATAGATGCAATTTGTTTTCAATTTGTATAGGAGGGTCAAGCACAGTACATTTTTCCATCATTTTTTGAACTAAATAATAGAAAACTACGGTTGTACAAGCGAATCTGTTAGAATTTTCTAAACTAAGATTCCAACAATCGTACAAAACTTTAAAAAATTTCAAACTGTTCAAGTCAATGCATTTATAATTTATCTGTTTCCGTCCCGATGCTCACGTTGAAATCTCATTTTAATAAAAATTTTAAAAAATAGACAGGTAATTTAACACTTCCTAGCAATGCCATCTTTTCATTAAAGTCACTGTCCGTTGTTTCTTAGAGAAAGCCGGAAAAACTGTTACAGAAAAAAAAAGTGATCGCTATACTAGTGATATCTATGAAATACTTTCGGCAACAAAATGAAAATTGTTTGACTATATACATACTAAACTAATAACAAGTAAAAAATAAAGTAAATGCAAGCCTTGAATTTGACGACATAGGCTACTATGTGTTACATAGACTTATCAAGATAATTGGATTAAGCTTCCCATTTAAGTTCGCAAGAGAATAAAAGATTTTATTAGCTCAAAAAAAATGATCTTATTAATTTTCTTGCTTATATTAATATAAAATATAGACCTAATTTGTCATAATCGAGATTTATTGTCAAGTTATAAATTTAAAAAAAGTGAGAGCTTAAATATTACCAGAAAAATCAATCCTTGTTAGATTATTTAAATAAGAAATATTAGTAGAGAAAAAATCTTCAGCCAAACTGTGAAGATTTATAGAGAATTGCTTATGAGAGTTAATCGATTTTTTGAAATTTTATTATCTTCAGCAGTAATCACGACACATAATATCGACAAAGCTAATGATGACAGTGATTAGACGAACTGATGATGCAAATTCTCCAGGACCTTATTTGAATCTCGGCAAGAAAAGAATTTACATTACCAGTGTGGACAATGTTGAATAATAAAAAATCTTTAACAATAGACATAAAAAGAGGTAAACATGGTTCAGTTTGGTAAAACAGGGGTCAAAGGAATCATGGGAGAAGAAAGAAGTGTAGTACAGATAATAATTGTCAATACGCATTTAAATTATTCAGTTTTGAAGATTGCTATTTAATATCTTAATTTGAATAAACCTTCTAAAATTTTTTTTGCAAACAAATTTCAATAATCTTATAATTGCTGTTAAAAAAGTTTATATCTTCTTGATACACCTTCTTTCCGATGATTCGAAGATGAAGTTTTACTTCAACGAAATTCAGTTATTTGCCTATATCGACCAGAAGTATATTTACAACTAATTTGTTCAATAAGCTTTCAGCTATTCAATTTTTAGGTATTAAAAATCAAAATATTCCAATTTAAAAATCTCAAAACAATTGTGTCAGGAACAATAATGCAAAACACTTCAGAAATTATAAAATATACTGTAATTAATTTAATGATCAGAATATTGAAGCAAGTACTAAATTTTAATCCAAAATAGCAAAAAATGAATTTTTCAAGAACTCCAAAAAGTGGACTACAAGAGACTGAAAACAAATGAACCTCATAAACCAACAGTATACATTAGTTGTACTTCTCTCTTGCCCTTAGACAACAATATCCCCACATATAGGTATTGCTCTCTAAGGGAATTTTTTCAATATATAATGCATTTTTTCAATATATAAAATCACTTTATTTTGTTGAAAGAAAACAATCAATTTGGCAGAGTTTTTAAATTCAAACAATTCGATATTTTAGATATATATTTTCTTTCAGAAAAGCAATAACAAACGGAAATTTTAAATGCAAGACCTGAATCCAAGAAAATTATCGTTTTGGATGAGAATAACTGCAATAGGAATTTGAAGACAAAAAATTTATGGCTGATATTTTGAAACTGCCTGAATTCTTCTATATGCTCTAATGGATACATTTAGCACAGGAACTACCCTTATCGAGCACCAACCCTATTGCTAATTGATATATCGGTTTTCAGTGGCATATAACTGCATCTCCTTATGTTAAACATATTGCAATAGGGTTGGTGCTGAAAAAGATCCGACCTTGACATTTTATTAATTTTAACATTGCTGAATTTAACGATGATTTACAACACAGCCTATTTTTTTCCTCTCTATCCTATCGTATCGTCTGAGCGAGTGGTTCATTCGAATCTAATCCAAAGTCAGGACGATTGGAACAAAAAATAAAATATAAAAAGGAAAAAATTCATAGAAAAAATACCCAGGCAGTGCAAACACATTAATTAAAGGATAGATCCTTTAATTAAAGAACGGTTTCGTTCTTTTGCAGAAATGAGAGATAGATGCTCAGGAAAGGACAAAGGTCATCAACGAGAAAGTGTTTGACTGCTCCATCACTACATAACACGCATACATACATACATACATATACTTACATCTTACAATGATCCCTGTTGGTAGGGCCATGTCATACAATCACTGACTGTTTATAACAGACTTAAAAGTTAAATGCTGAGCAGAAAAAATGATAAATAAATGAGAGCACTAGAACCCGCTATATACAGATTCGAAAACCGCGAAAATAATCTCTGATTGATAAAGTTGGAAAGAAATGCATCAAATTAGAATTTGAGAATAGGATGTAAAATGTTCACTCAGACTCAACATAACTTATTTCCGATATAAGTTTATTGACATCAAAACTAACGGAAATTATGGTTTACTCTTATTTTAATGATACTGTCTAAAACAGTGAATTCACTACCTCATACATTTATTTATCCAAGGCAGTATCACTTTATTTTGTTGGGCTATGTGCTTTAAATCGACAAGAACCAAGAATGACAATAACAGTCACTCAAAAAGACAGAAAAAGTTTTATTAGAAGCGGTAATCAGTCATGAGTTTGGAAGAAAATGAAACTTTATAACAAGTAGTTTTCAAGTTTCATTCCTATTAAATTTTGACTTTACCATTCAAAATTCGAAAGTAGAAAATTCTGCTTTTCTAATACTTCAAAGAAAGAATGGTTGCAAGAAAACCTAATTAATCTAGGAATACAAGTATATCACACAAAAAATTACTGGAATAAAGGACATTATAGGGCAACAGCAGAAAATGTAGAAAACGAAAGAATGAGAAGTACTATACTAACCTTGACCCATCAATGCCAGACTCTGCAATTGCATGCTCGTGCAACAGCGTGTAACTGCAACTGGTAAAACCAGATTCGTCTGAAGTTCTTCACTGCAAATCAAAACAATCACAAAAAATAAATTTCTCCATGCATTCAAGTCTTCTTGCCACTTTCAAATTTTGTTTCATATTTCAAATATAATCATAATAAATAAGAAATGAGCTTTCTAAGTAAACGTTCAATGATATAATAAGAAACGACGTGTAGGAAAACGAAATCAAATACTGGCATCAGCTGTCTTTTTCACTGAAAATTTCTGCAACCTGTCCCCTTCAAATATACCAGTGCACAATACTACACAATATTCTCTTTTGAGTGGACATTCTATTTAAATTTCATTTCTTCATCAAATATCTAACATTAATTCTACTGACTTCATCAAGTGCTTAATATTAATTTCACTGCAACTATTGCTATACATTACACGTATGAAAGTAAATCACACAGAATTATGGAAGAGTCAGAGAATGTACATTTCGCTTTTTAATTTTTACAATACGTCCAAAGTGTCAAAAAAAGATTTTGTTGAAGTGTAGTACTCTCATGCATGTTTACGACTACACAATGTTCACAGTGCCCTAATCACGAATAATAATAAATCAATTTTACGAAAACATAACAATACATTAAAAATGCGAATTTTTGGCAAATACAGTTCGAATTTTATCAAAAACAGCTGAACTAAAATATCTAAAAACTTAAACTTACCCGTTTAAACAGTAATGTTCAATCAATAAAGGAAGCGATTTAAATTGGTAAGGCGACGATTCTACACGTACACTTCTATCCGGACCAGCTGATTCGATGAGATAATGATCAATATCCGATGTTAAGCCAGGAGGTGAACGAATGCTTAATGCCATTGCATTGGGTTTTGATGATGACCGCACAATAAAGGCCTAAAATATTTACTAAAATAATATTTGTTTAAACTTTCAAAATGTCCAAATGTGAAAATTCCAAATTAACCTTGAAATTTGCACGCTAGATCACGTTCGTAGATGTAATAAAAGCAACGAAGCGTGAAGAATTAGGCATCCTAAAATCCTGATTAAATTGCTACAACGCACTACATGATTCGTTCATGAAAAACTATTTCCTTATTTGAATTTAGAAAATGCTGGTTGGGAACTGCATTTACCCCTTCGTTCATTGGGCGAAGTAAATGTGTAGCAGCAGAACGCCCAATATGCTGCAAATACCAAATAGGATGTGTACGAATAATTTTCTCCAATAACGTGATCCCCTTTTCATTTCCACTTTTTACACCATCTTGATTTTTTTCTTCACGGCTTGGTGACTGTAAAAGTATTGAATTATATTTGAACCTGAAGATGTTATTTCTTTATCAGTATTTAATTTTATTGGAGAACAAAAAAATACAAAGTTTCTAAATAACTCCAATTCCCGTTGTGACTCAACTATTTAGCGAGCGAAGGGAAGCTTATTTCCTTTTCTAATTTCACTGCCCATTATCACCTGCATGTATACACGAATGAAAAAAATTTCATTATTTCGTTAAACTTCTTAAGTAATGAATCAGCTAACATCAACTTACTTCAATGAATTTGCTTTTCCTTTTATCTTTTACTAAATTTATGCGTCTATCACATTGTACTGCTGTAGATTTCTTCATACGACCAATGCCCACTTTGAAATTTGACGGTGGTTTAGGATGCTGAAATAATAATCAAAGCTAAAATGCCGACATTGCTTTGATCTCTCCGATAAAAATATAAATGAAATGATTAATTAACGCACAAATCAATCGTACAGAAAGAATAAACAATGTAAATCAGTAATAAACATCAAAAAGCAGTTTCTCTTTTTTAATGTATCTTGGCTTTTCTCAATAAAATATCCAACAATCTAAATTTTTTAACAAAGTATTTAAATTTTTAAAGTGGAGATCATTTTTTCCAGAAGTCAACATCGAAATATCCAAAAAGGTTTTTACGCAATGAAAAAAACGAAAATTGATATACGGTTAGGAAAATAAAAATATAGCCCTTCCAACAGTATCCGTTGTTCGCTGACAACCATTTAGACCCGCGATGACTAATTCCGAGCAGAAATTTGTTCTCACATATCAATTTTGTTTCCGCAAACAGGAAATGACCTCAGCAATATGGATATTTACAAATTTCAATAAAATACAAGTCTACTATAAAAAGATTTTCATTTCAAATGCTCCATATTAAATGCTGCTTAAAAACAGTAATACATTAGAAATTCTCCATTTAAGATCTAAAATACTGAGAATAATCCTTACATCTACAGCTGTTGAAGCTAATATATCGACAATTGGACTACTTGTACACTCTACTGGAATGCACTTTCTCATCATTGTTCTCGGTACCACCTGATTAGAAAACTGCAAAAAATAAGGTATTACTTAGTTTTTTCCTGGATTTTCCATGATCACACTATTTCTCTTTATCGATGCCAAAATATATCGCAGTGAAAAATGTAAGTCAAACAATAAATAAATATTATGTAGATGTTAACAATTAAAAGTGTCACATTATTTGTGACGGGAATGGGAATGGAATATATGAAATCGATTTTAGGAATGGGAATGAAATATATGGAATCGATTTTATATAATACAAATTTATTGTTTTCAACATTCAAATTTATTTGACTCGTTAAATTTTAGAAGAATTGCGAAACCGGTATTCGTACAAGCGCTATAGTTACAATTTACATTCTAACCTTGTTTGTAACAAGGTGAACAGGTCCATCATCGATGATGAAGGCTTCACGTTTCTTATTCATATTTATATCAGTAACTGTTGTTGTTATGACGTTGTTGTTGTTTTGACTATTTTCCTCTGTTCTGACTAATAGATCATCATTTTCCACACTGTCTGCAAAATAATTCAACTTCGAACTTTTTTAAATTTCAAAGAAAACAATTAAACACGCAGGAAAAGATCCAGAGCAATCAATGATTGCTATTAATTTTAACTTTAAATATAGGAATTGTCAATTTATAAAAGAATTTCAGTTAACAGGAAAAACTAAGGAAAGAAGAAACTCTTCAAGTATCTCTCTAATTTTACATCTCTCAATGCATAACTTTCATACCTTCATCATTGAAAAGAGCATATGAATAATTTGAAGAATGTGCAAACTATCGGTGAGATATGCAGCAATGAGGTATACATTCCTTTTATCAAATGCGTTTTTCTTAACCAAAAATGGAATATTTGTTGAGAGTTAGCGAATCCCCTAAATACAGTGAATCAACTATAGACTGAGAAATTACAGATCCCGAATCTTTACGACATGCATTCTTCTTGACTGCAACCAAATGCAGTTCAGTCGTCGCATAGTTCCTATCGTTAAATCCACCTGCTATCGCTCACTGCAGCATATCACCTTCATATTTTCCATCATTATTCAACTTCAAATAGGGGGAATGTCCGCTAGTGATTACTGAATATTGATAGAGGGGAAATCCGATGAAAGGAAAGAACATTCCATACACTCATCTCAATAAGACATAAAAAAGGTGTCATCAAGATGTTCCAGCTCGATCGATATCGACCTCAACTGTATTGGCTCAACTCTATTGACTTCAAATGATATGACCAATGAAACGGTAACATGCAGTTTCATAGTATGAAACACTATGGAATATATCAAATTGACAATACTGAAAAGATACAATGAATGATGACACATCGAAAATGCGCACTGTGACGCTTCATGGACTATAGCTGAGTGATAACGACGATAAGGAGATGTGATGCCATCTCATTTATCACTCCAATCTTCTCACATTTTCATAAAGCTCAAGTCTCGAATTTCGAATGCAAGTATCAATATTACAAGAATAGGAGATTGATCACTATAAATCGACTGGATACGCAAGAAATTGCAAAAGTGAGAACAGGGAGAATTACATATATCCTTTCACAGAAAGGTTGACATACATCCTGACACTCTCTCTCTCTCAGATCAGGAACAGATGCTGATGCGTAAAATCTTTCATCACTTTTAAATCTTCCTCTCCTCCCCCTCCATTACCTTCACTGCTATTATAAAACATTTGAAAATTGTGCCATCTTGAGCAAATGTATGTAACAATAAAATGGATGAGAATCCTTCTAATGATGCAACAAATTTCATTCCTTTCTCTTGATTTTATTTCGGGGAATTTGAAATGAAATACTGAAAGAATGCGTTCATTACTTAAGATGAAATGGCATAATATAAAAGTAAATGAAAATAAAAAGATTGAACTATATACAAAATAAAAAAATTAAACTAGCTATAAAGATTATAGCTTTATAGCTTTTATTTTACAATTTCAAAATTACTTCTCTCACCGATTATTCGTTATTTCATTAATTAAGAATAAAGAGTAAAATGAGATTACAAATGAGAATTTTCCGCTAATTCAGTGTATCAATTTCGATCACTAGGAAAACATTCACAGGTGGAATTAGGGAGAACTAATTTTAATCTCACAACTCTTTTTCTCTCTCCCTCTCCATAGTGCCGTATATAATATGCATAAATTAACATTCTGCATGACTTCAAAAGGCACTACCGACAAGTATCACAGATGATTCAAATGATTCAAATCTATTAATAAAAAATTGTCACTAATGTGACGTTTAAGAGTAGCAGACAACAGGGAAAGATATAAGGTACCTTTCCCGAGAGGTAAACATGAATGGACATTTTCTAAAAGCATTGAATATCTGTTTTCAATAAAAGCATGATTTACTCCAAAAATTTACAAGTAACTTTAACATTTCTGACCAGTACTTCTTCCTAATGAAGAAGGAAACATTGCAAAATACTTTTATAAGAATGATGAGAGAAGTTTTACTTACAGAATGATTAGTCTGAAGAAATAACTAACTCCTCTAATATGATAAAATACTACTTTAAGTTCTTTTACAAGTAACCTGAATGAATAAAGTATGAGGCGAAGATGGTCCTTTACCTATCAGATATAAAAGTAATATACTCTCCTGTCTCATTACGTCCGTTTTAAATTGTTTCGGCAATTTGAAAAAATGATATCCCATCATGAAAAAGTTTTAATTTTTTTCACAAACCTTTATTGTGATATGCTTAATTAATAGAAATTTCTAATTAAAATATTTATTACTTCAATTGGAAAGATTTATTAGTATATCGGCTGATAACATTCGTCATGTTCTGCTGCTATCGTTAATTACAAATAAAATAAATGATAAAGGATCATCGTGGAGATATTTGTAAGATTATCACCTTAATATAACTATCATTCATACTCAGAATTAATCAGAATATCGATCCGGCACTCTCTTCTTATATTCTCTATTTCTGTTCAGATATATCGTTCTTATCGAAATTACTTTTGGTTACTATTCTATTCTTCTGTAAGGGAAAGGATCAAATTTTTGAACAAGTTTATATGTAATTGTTGAATTACCGAAAAACATCAACAAAAAAAATCTTTTCTTTTTGAAGAAAAAATTTCTCATTTCTTTTTTCAATGTAAAGACTTTATAAAATTAACATAATTTTTATGAAATCAATTTAATTTTTACAATAAAAATTGCCCTTCCAGTTTGGTTCAATTAATGAAAAGAAATGGAATATTATGGAAATTAGTTGGGAGCAGTTAAAATTTCTTTAAAGCCAAATAATGGAGAAATGGTTCTGAAAGGAAAGGATAAAAACTGGGCTATCATTCTAATCAATAAAGCATCATGTGGTACTGTATTTAAAATCATATAGGATGAATGGACAGGAGATAATGTGTGACTGTTAATAACGATTGATCAACAATTGAAGAGAAGAGAGTGATTAAATAATAATAAAGATGATGAAAGCTTTTCAAATCTTTCATCGAACCAAATAATAATCCCATAAATAGCAACAAAGAAGCTTCCATTTCATTTATTATTCAAAGTAAATAGAAAATTTCGATCAGTTGAAAATATCAAATTTTCGACTCCCTAGTGATTCTGACAGAAGTAATCAGTTGCCAATTATTTTTAATCAAGTAAACAAATGAAGCCAAAATTAACGATAGAATTCATCAATGACATAATTGAAATAAAAAAAATTTTTTTTTTTAAATA